AAATTTTTTGTACCGCTAATTTAAGTTAAATTTAATGATATTTGATATTATTTATAACTTTGCCACCAATTTTTTAAGTCAAATGCAATGACATTTGGTATTATAGTTTGATGTTGGTTATAATAACTGTTATTTATCTAAGTTTGTATACTTGATAATTTACTTCAATCGCTATGCGAAAGTTTGTAATAAGATGTAAAGTTTTATTCAATAATGAGACATTTTATTGGTTTGTCCTAATTTTTTTTTGATAAAAACACAGTACAATTCACTCTCGTTATTGTGAATTTCCGGACACATTCATTGTAACGAGAGTGAATTTTTACGTATAATGTAAATCTCCTTATAACGAAGAATTCTTTCGTTCTCGCCTGTCATAATATCATCAAAAATCATTATAAATAAAGAAGTCTTTATTATCATCAAAAATTAACGCAAACCATTAGTGAATTCAGTTTGTTAAAGCGCAACTTAAGTCATTCTCGTTATTTCTGAATTAGTGAATATTCATTATTGATTATCGAATTCTCAAAAAAGAATCGACATAGCCTCAAACAATCGCACAATATTACTGATTGATTTTTTCAATGAGAGGATAAATAAAGCTAGCTCAAGGGAAGTGTTAACTTATTTGATGAACGATATGTCATTCATTACTTTTTTTCTATCTTGCTAAAGAAAGTCCATACTAAAGTAGATTGGTAAGCAACTTTTAACTGTTTCCGATATTACCTAAGTACACAAACTTAAAGCAGTATCACTGTCGTCTTCAAATCCCGAGGGCAGCCGCCTACCAATGACGATTCAATTGGATCTTATAGTAAATAAAAAATGAATTGACGGAAAAATTCTAATTGACACGAAAACGCAATAGATGACACAGAATTTATGATGCATGTACTGTATAGGATGATGTTTTCTTGGCAAAGCACAAAGAATCGGTATTACTGTTACTAAAAAGGATACTGATACATTCAATGAAAAAGAAGAAGGAATCAGGAAATAACAATAAAAGATGTTTGATGATTTCATTAGCATTACCATGCATAAAATATGCAAACAAGCATTATCGTTATAACTAAAACGATCTTTATTAATTGATCATTTTGTTAATATTGGGTAATAATTTATCCCAAACCCTTCCTTATCGTCATTGAAGGAAGTTATTATGATTTTCAAAGCAAACAATGCATGTGCTATTTCTTTGATTTATTAGTAATCATACGACAAACAAAGCTGGAATATTGTAAAAATGATAGAGAAGGAGCAACAACAAATGTTTATTTTACCACTAAAGAGCACACGCCAAGAGAAAAGTTTCAAGCATTACTACAAGGAGTAAATGAGTTTGTAGATATTTCACATTCAAATTTAAACTAATCAACCAACGGAAATGAACCAACGCCAAAGATTATTAATATAGACTTTATACGTCATCCGGTTCAAGCATAAATGCAATTTCGAATCAATTGCATACCGATACATTTTTCGGATAATAGAATTTATTCTAGCTTTCCCTACCTTATGATTCAAATACAACATTGGCACTTACCAAGATTGCTCTGTAAAGAGAAAATCAATGAACTAATCCTGACATTAGTTCTTGGCACTTTTTCACAGAAAAAGATAGAATGAATGTTTTTTGGCACATAAAAGAATTACGTAAAGACATAAATTGCGAGAACGCGTAAATAATATAACCGATCAAAGGATAAAGTTGCGTTTTAAATTCAAATTCTATCGCATCACAATAGCGGATTGACGCTATCCAAATCACCTGAATACGGAAGTTTTATTTATTTATTTTGAAACTATATAGTCTGTTAACCCGACCGCATTAACATCGAGAACTTATCGACTAATAAAGTTCAATTCAAACCCAATCAAGAAATTGGTGTAATTGTCACAAGCCCATATTTTGGATTTGCAATTCTTTTAATTGGCATTTCATCCGAATTCCCCTGCATCTTCTTACTCGGTGATATATTATTATTTCGACGAAAAATATATTGTATGATGATTAAAATTCTGTGTTTAGTGTAAATAACCCTAAACAAGTGACATGTTTACTATTATTGTTATTGCTGTTTTGCTAAGTGTTATAGTAAATATTATTTTATACATGGATGGACTTTTCATTCTGAGGAAGTCCCGTAACAAATCAACTTTAAAAGGAATAGCATAATCCTATTAAATGGAGAGACTTTTATTATAATAATCATTTATTGTTTATTTTGATAATTATCTATCCACTATATTCTAAAATTTGCCGAATCTGTACAGCAATCAAAGCGATTACAAATATTTAATAAATATCGAATTCTTTTCAGAATTCTAAATTCAATTTTAATAGGTCAAAGGTTTCACCAACTAATGCACAAATTAATGAATCGACATACAGAAATAGAAACAAATTCTCCACGATTCAAAACCTCGCAGTTATCAATTATCTTTCGTGGTAATGCTTAGTAAAAAGGGCAATACAAATGTTCGTTTCCGATTCGGCGTATAAAGCCCCCGTAGCAGTTAATTGGATCGGCTTGTACTATGCTGTATTACATTTTCAAATTGCCGATTGGACAAAAAGTTGCAGAGATCGCTTGTTTACCGTTACTGTGAAAAAATAACTCTAATTTATTGTTCGGAACAGCCGAGAGATCCATAGCTGCAATATGGATTAATGAGGAGCAGCAGCAGCAGCACTGCCCAATTCCACTAGTATTGGTATTAATTTCTGACAGTTTTGTATTTATTTCCATGCTACAAAACGCAAATTGTTTGGTTTGTTTTATTTTTGATTAATCAGCTCATATCATTTGATAATTCACCAGCTTTAATTAAGCTTTAATTCTAATAAATGTAATATTCACGCATGGATATTTTTCAATTCAAGCAATCGATAATATATTTATTAAGATATTTATTCATTGAGTCTTGCATTGAGTTTGAACCCGATTCAAAACTATTTTTTATTTTATTTGCTCATAATGATAATAATAGCAATAATAAATAATAATGATAACGACAATAATTATTTACATTACAATAACGATAACGACAATAATAATCCAGAGTAACAAGTAAACAAGTAAATATATATTTGTTGTTATGATTTAGTGTAACGAATGCATCCTAATGCCATTTAAATTGAAAGATCATACATTTCAATGAAATCCCATAGCGACCTTATGATGGCTTGTAACTGATAGCGAGAAAGGAGATGGGATGGTATGGTGCTTTATTATACACACGCACACATACACACACACACATATACACATACACACACACACACACACACACATCCTGTTAATACAAAATGGCGTGTTCGTCGAAAGTGTTTACGGTAATATCATAGAATTTTATGTTTGGAGGCGGAAAAAATAAAAGGAATTCGAATTCTCTTTCAAATTTAAAAGAAGGTTTATCCTTGTTGCTGCTGCTGTTGTTGTATCATCATATATGCATTAGATTATAATATACATCTGAAACTCGAGCCACTTATTTAATAAGGAAAGCAAAAGGAATTTGCTTTTCTTGTATGATATTTACTCCTATTTGTTTCAATTGGCTCATTAAGTTATCGGATTCTGGTTTTGTTCCCGATTCGTGGTAAGCGGATGTTCTTGACACATAACTTGCTTATTGAACTATCAGATAGCGACGAAATCGAAATAGTTCACGTACACGTATCAATAGAAAGTTCATCAAATGGACGAGATCATTGTGTACACGCATTATCTATATACATATACAATAAAAGGAAAATTTTATAATAGATATTTATGTACATCTATATATATATATATATATATATATTCGTCGAAGGTGGATGGAGGAGAAAGTGGGTTAGAATGAGTCTGAGGGTGAGAGGGGATTGTGCTATCTATAGAGAAACAAAAATGGGTTGATTCTGTTTACCCGTCCCGTTTGTAATCATTTAATATATACGTATATTGTTTTTTCTAGAACTTTTTTGAATTCATTATTGACATTGGTTAAACCTTCATTTAATACAATGATATTATTAATAAATATACGTACCTCGTTATTAATCAAAAGAGATATGTTACAGATTGCGATATCAAAAAATTGAATATATGCAAAATGTATTATATTAAATTTATTTACTTTTAATGTATTAAATTAAACTTTCAAACTAGGAGCGAAGAAGATTAACCTACTTTTATATTGTCGTAGCAACCCAACCCAACACAACCTAACCTTTAATTTATACACTCATACGTATTATCCCCATAATCAGAGTAACCATTCCGATGCAGTCAAAAAAGGAAAAAAATTCTACCGACTATACATAGTAAAGTAAGTATATTTAGGAGCAATAAAAGGGGTAGTGTTTATGTTATTGTATAGATATATATGATTATTGAGGATACTACGGTTATTCGTCATTGCAAAGTTCCACTTTTGAATTCCCAATGAGAATAATCCAACTAAAAAAACCACTATTGATTGACAAAATAATAACATGTAATGCTTTTGAATCCCTTCGCTTCGCTTTACTTCATAGCCTGCGAAACCTATACATGGACTCAGAAAGAGAGAAAAGCGGCGAATACTTGCTAACGAATGACGAGCGAGTCTGCGCTTATCAAGCGATTACATACCTGAATACCATGTGACATTTAATCATTCACAGTATCGGATGCATTTGTAATGTGTGGGATGTTCTGATTCAAAAGTTGTTTTAAATATATTTGGCGTTTTTCTATTCAAGTGCATCGATTCTTTCTTACAGAATTCACAATTATTCTTCAAACGTTGTATATCCTCTATAGTGAATATAGATTAGTAATATATTTATTAAATTTTGCAGATGAACACAATATAAATATTAGATGATCGCATACGGATGACGGGACTTCATTTTACCATTAAAGCGCTACACTATAAATACAAGAAGATATCCATCTCGTTCTCGTATAAAAATTCTTGAAATCTAATTAATCTATTTATAGCAATTTTTATAAATGTCAATTATGAGCGAAACATCAACCACGTTATTACACGTTCGAAATTATCCTCGTCCATCAAAAGTTCATAAGAGAAATTCTCTCAACTCGCATTCTAAATTTTCACAAATTTTCTCGAAACTCCCTCGAGCTGTATTAAATTTCGATGAACATTCATCTTTATCTTCAACACGACGAGGTCGAACTTTGAGCCTCGACTCAGTGACAACAACTATTAGGCCGGAGAATAACTCAATGTCTAATGATAAGTATTTTTCCCCCCATAAAAACGAAGAAGCGTCGACGGCAATGATGAGTTTTCTACTTGGTGCTCCTGATTTTAAAAAATCAAAAGAAATCATGATGCCTGCCAAATTCAACAAATATTCTATGCCCAAAATTCAGAAACCTAAGCCCAAATACCGATTTATTTTAGCTGAAGCTCCCAAAGAAATTTTGGAAGAAATAAATGATGAAAAGTTCAAATCTTCAGCTACTATTATGGCGATTTCATCAATCCTTAATGATAACACACAATCACCCCAAACATCACAAAATCGTCATAAAAATCGTGTTCATTCGCGCAAAAATCCTTATCCAGTGCGATCATTGCAAAGTTCAGAGGCAATTACCTTTAAATTAGACACATTTAAATTGAAGCCACCACCCCCAATTGAAAATCAAGAAATTCCAAATACAGTAATAACATCATCATCATCAACAACCATGACAAACACTATTATAACATCATCATCATCAACCACAACATTATTAATATCAACAGAACAACCGAAAACATACGATTCGGAGATTAATTTCTCTTCGCATTCTTCGGCTGAATCGTCAGCGCCTGCCAGTCCAAGACTGGAACCCAAAAAGAAACAACAAAATATCAAATCACCACGACCGAAACGTGAAGGTGTCATGAAAGTTAAACAACGACGTCGTAAGGGCAATTCATTGGCGCGAGTCTTGGCAGATTCCGGTATAATAGAATCACCATTTGTCCAATTGGGATCAACGTTAGAAGTAAATGGCGAGATTAAGCCATTACGCTTGCCACTTGCTCCTCAAATGGAATTCTCAAAACTTCTTAAAGAACTTCGGGATCTATCATTGGATAGTCGTGGTCTAAGCACACAACCTGTCATGACATGGAAAACTGGACCGCTCTCGATCGAACATCTTGCACATTTTAATGAATTACATCCAACTGAAGCTTACGTCGCATCTGTATTACGTTTAACTCCTGTCCAATACTTCAACGCAAAGCATTCATTAATAACAGCATCGCGTCGATATGAAGGACGGACTTTACCATTTAGAAAAAGTGATGCGCAAAAAATCCTACGAATAGATGTCAATAAGGCAAGCAAATTGTGGGAATTTTTCCATCAATTAAATTGGCTTTAATTGCGTCATCACCCATACACACACTAGAATCTCTAAATAAAATGTAAATAATAGTATTGGGATTTTTTGATTGTTTTCTTTTTCCTTTTTTCCTTTCTGTATCAAAAATAACCAAAAATCATAGATGTAAATAAACTTCAATATCCATCTTGAATACAGATCCTTCTGACTTTGCACTCATTCAACAACGTAAACATCTTTTTCTTTGTCCATTTAAGACGCGACATTTTTGCCATAATGCCATTTTCGAGCATGAATTAGCCACAAAACATGCCATTCTGTAGTCGTAACTACATGATATTATTATTGTTATGATTGTTAGTCGAATAATACACGATTCGGCATTCAATATTTTCTCGCTATATTAAGGGGCGAATTCATAAAATGAAATGTCGATATCGATATAGTAGAATAAAGTTGGAGATAATCACTTCCATTTTTAAATAATCTGATTTTTCTCATTTATAAATCCTTGATTAAAGGGAAAAGGGAAAAATAAACACACCGATACGTTGGCGTATTTTCTTTTTGGTGACCGATTTGTAAGCAAATGTTATTCGTTACCTGATCGGAAATTATTTTAATGTTTATGTATCACACATACACTGCTGCTGCTGTTTAATCTTAAGAATCTTAACGTTAAGAGACGGTGAATGATTATTATCGGGTCAATGAATGGGATATGTGCCAATTTAAAAATTAAAATTAGCAAATAACCTGACGTTGATTTCAAATTATTTGAAATTCGATTGATTGATTGCGAGATAGTAAATAATGAGCGAATTCAAAACAAGGGCAATATCAAAATATTATAGTGTCACTTGTTACTAATACTGACCACTATGATTTATTTTACTTCTCATTCGAAGTTTCTTTTTAGATTATTCTTTCTTGCTAATTATAATTATAGGGGACGAATGATGCTACAATAACGAAAGAACAACACGAGATCGATAGTGATTGCTATGACGGCTCACTATACTCTTTTCTCGAATTGTCATTTAGAACAATTGTCATAACAATAATATTATCCATATCAACTACTAAAGATGAGAAAAAATCAATCGAGTATCCATAATTGGATTTTTGAATTCCATTGACATAGAATAAAAATAATCGAACTGCTATTACAATGAGAGTTGCCCAAAAAGTTGTATTTCAGCAAATTTCGATCCTTGTTCTCCGCATCATGTTTACATGTGTTTACATGTACGTGTCATGTACATGTTGAAGATCTTGTGTCGTAAATTTCAGAATCATATGACCTTGCGTATTTTCGCAATTTTTGGCTTTAGATATTGATTGATTGGCTTGGCTTTTTATCAAGAAAATCTCTTTTGGGGTCTTTGCATCATCATCGTAGATTTTTTTTAGAAAAAGGCGTTTTTCTCCTTTTCGAATTGCAATGATCAAAAAAATGCGAAATTTTATTGTATCTTTTTATGACGGCTGTTTAAATGCAAATATATCGGAGATACCGAGCAATAAATAAAAGTGGGGAAAGCTTCCAGTTTCAATTAAACGTACAGAATAAGACTCCGAGTTGAAAAAAAAACACACACGAATTAAATTCAAATTCTAGAGATTAGAACAAATTCAATTCGTTCGTTGAAACAATATATATATATACCACAAATAGATAGTAACGATCATCACCAATGAATCTATTTAAAAAATTTTCACTGCACAGATTAAAAAGACTGCTCAAAGATACATGCGTAGTTCGGTCAGTTTTTACTTATTTATTTACTTATCAACCCGAAGATTTTTAATTTCGATTATACTCTTAATCTATTGTTTTTGATAATTTTACTCAATATCGAATCTCTTCCGCCGCGGATTAGAATGAATAATGATAATCGTAAAACTAACTAAATAGAGATAATATTTAGATGAAAAAAACCATTAAAATATTTAAAATAGCAGGCAACCACACACAGTCATACCCTAACAATAATAGATTTAATATAATTGTGTAATTACATAAACAAATAAGTTGGAATTATACGTGCATGATGCATGATGCATCATTTTTCATTGTCATAGTTTCTCCGAACAACAAGGTTGGTGGTGTCGTATAAAGCAAAGAACAGAAAGCGAATGTAATAAAGAAAATTTGATATGTATTTCGCGTAATTTTATATTAGAATTTTGGCAGGTCATTCAAGTACTTTCATTTTTAGCAATTGCTATCCGGCTGTTTTAATTGATCAAGCTGCTCTTTTGTATGCTGCTAATGTTTAACAAATAAAATGAACAGTGGCACGTAATAAGGCATTACGGCGTCTAAAATTAAAATTTATAATGCTCACTCACTTGTTATGCAACCTTTTGTTAGTTCACTTCCTTATTATCAAATCCGCTAGGACTTTGAAAAATTATTACTCGTCGTAATAATAATATTACGGTAAATTAGTTTTATTGCTACCATTATTCGAGGATTAAATGAAACTCGATCTCATTAAAGAGATGTTTTATTATGAATGCTTTTTGGCAAGATTTTGCCCAGAATGATAGTAACCGTCATTGATTTATTAAATGATAATAACCGTCGTTGACATTACTTAAAAAAATTAATTAACATAAATTAGAAGCATTATTAGAGCATTAGGCCGAATCATTCCATCCTGAACAGTAAATGTATGACAACAGGCCGAATTAGGATAAACGAAAATCATCTCCCATGCACACAAATAACCCACAAACATTAACGCTATTTTATTTTTCGGAAACAAATCCTCGTTCCACGTTTTTCCGTGCATATTTGTTTAATGTGTTCAATTAATTAATTGATGATCGTTCAACTGTAATAATGGCTGGAAAAAACATCATATGTTTTCTCAAGGAAAAAAAAGAGCACTTTTCAAAAAAGAGATCTTGACGATATTAGCTAAAATTTCGCACGTTCGTATTTTAATTTAACTGGAAAAAGGATTCTTTTTAATTTTGTTATAATTGTCAGGAAAAAAGACTAAATTGGCAAAGAAAGTTTCCTAACATTTGTCTTACTAATGATTATATTTTGCGCAGATAATGGCTTCTGTTTCTGATTAGGTGAAAGTAAGTAGTGAAACAAGTGTGAGACGTGTTAATTTAATAAATAGGATAGGATGATGGTCTGTGTTTTGGAAAACAAAGACATCAATCAATGCTAGTACCTCGAGTTTGAGAAATACATTTCTGCGTAGTATTCGTTTTCAAGATACTTACTAAATGTCCGGTTTCTTCTGTTATCGTCATCATCATCAAAGACTCGTCTGATAACGACCGAAAGTTCTGTCAAGAATTTAAAATTCCAAAGGAAATCGTAAGCATGATAATCATTCATGCACTTATTCAATTTAGCCGACATCATGAAATCCCAAACGTGAATCAAAAAAAGAAGTTTCGTTATCTCACTCGATTAATGCGTAAGTAAAATGGATGGAAAATGGTAATTTTCCACTGCATACAATGAAAATAAGAATTATTCGAGTTTCCCTATCAAAATTTTGGCGTATGACAAAAAATAACTTTCGGGTAGTCATAATAATCATACTAATGATACTATCGCTATGAACAAATTTGGCAGAATTATTTTTGAAAGGAAGGAAGTAAGCTATACTGCGCCGCCATAGAAAAACAGAAACTTCGTAGCATCATCCTGTAGAACTTACACACACCATCCGAAAAAATTAACTCTAAATAAATGTCATTTTAATTCCGTTCCTATTTTGGTCCATAAAAACCACACACTTAATCATCAAAGAAAATGTATTCCCATTGCTAATGCATATTGTATGTATGCATAGAGATATCTATATATGTGTGGGTATGCACATATGTAAATAAATGCCTACCAAACAATAAACTTGCATGTTCCCGATTTATTTTCTTCTTTTTCTTCCTCTTTTTCCTTCTCATGCTTCAGACTATTTAATATTTTCTATGATTGATTTCTATCTTATTTCTTCTAAATCTATTTATCCGTACATACATAATTCAATGACACCACTAATAGTCATGATTCAAGGGGTTTTCTCTTTTTGTTCTGTTAAAGACGAATATAAAAAAATATTGTTAAGGATCAAAAGAAGTTTTAATTTTGCTCAAGTGGGAATAATTTTGATGAATTGTCTCGACCAATTTTATTCGAATTCGAATTACTGTATGCTCTAATTCGTCAACCAAAAATATCGGTCAATCCATCCATAACGATAATTGCTGCTGTTCTAATTTAAAATACCCAAGAGCAATTAAAACGAATTCGATTAACCATCCAATTTTATTTTTGTTTACACTTTTTCCGTGGTTCTTTGCGATTGACAATATATCAAGCAATGAAACGAAGCGAAACGAAATCATATTGTTTTTTGTGGCAGCAGGCGAATATGTGTGTGTATGTGTGTGTGTGTGTCGAATATATTAGAATAAATATAAGTCCATTCATTTTTTATTTATGTGACACACAGCAAATATAAATTTTATTAGGCATATTTCTGATTTGTTTTTTTTTGTAGTATAATTTTTTTTTGCTTTATTGTATTACTAGTGCTGATAATTAGTATACGATGAGGATATAGGGATATATGATACTATATTTATACTAATAATTATTAAATGAAAGAGAAAAACGCCAATCACTTATTAAATACAGAGTTTTTTGTGCTTGACAACAAAAAAACTCATTTTCATTCTCTCTCTCTTCTGTTATCAATTTATTTATCGCATACAGGGTTAGAAAGATTTTTACTTTTAAAATTATTATTTGTTATTATTGTTTTATTTGGTAATTGCTGAGTCCTGAAATTTGAATCGTCCCATAAATAAAAAGGCCCCTGAGTGAAAAGAGTATAAATAAATATTGCATTTTTTTAATTGCTTATCATCCACCACCGTACACTTCAATTTTTACTTGTTTTTCTTGTTCGTCTACCGCTGTCTTTCTATTTTTTCGCCGTTTTTCTATTAGAAAATTCACAAGCGACCGAAAAAAATCATCAATCGATTCAATCAATTATTTCTCTTTGACCAAGAAAAAATTGGGTCGAAAATTTGTCGTCTTTATCAATAATTCGTATTCATTTAAAAGAAAATTTTGTTTTTTTTTTCTTCTTTCGACAACTTATTGTTTTTAACCAAAGAACAAATGGAGCAATCCACTCAATTTCTTCAAAAACAAACCGAACACTTGTTCACAAAACACAATCAATGGACTCCAAATGACGACGACAACCACAACAACAGCAACAACAACAATCTTGAGAATAATTCATCTTTACCAAAGTTCGAAAAATTAATCATTATACGAGAAGAAGTTAATTCATCGGATTCGTTGTATACTCCACCGATATCCCCAACTTCTAAAATTCATCAAAGTCAGACTCCTTGTAGTAATAGAGAAAATCAAGATTCAACAACTTTTTCGTCAAATTCTTCCGATGATTATAATATGGAAGATGCGACTCCACTTAGTCCAAGAAGTTTAGGAACCAATACTAATAATAATTTACCTGATACGAAATTAACTCGACCGGATATTCCGCAATCCGAGGAATCGCAAAGCAAATTACCAAAAAATAAATATCGATTCACTTTGGAAGAAGCAACACCTGAATTGTTGGCAAAATTAAATATCTCGGAATATAGTCTACATTCACCGTTTGCGTCCACATTGTCTTCTCCAGCCACATCCCTGAACGGTCACGTGGAAGCCACAACCGCTAATCACGTGCTTGCTTCTAACCATAAAATGCCAACTCAATCATATCATCGTTCGAGAAAGAATCCTTACCCAATGCGATCCCCAAGCAAATCGTCAGAAGGCTTAAGTCTAAATATTGACTTATTTTCGGTATTCAGTCAAGATCCCCAAAAGTTACTACAACGGGATTCTGACAAGCCGAAAAGCGTGAGCGATACAGTGTCGTTCTCTTCGTCGGAGTCATTACAAAACAGCCCAAGAATTGGACCAAAACGAACGCGTTCTCATAAACCCAAAAACAAACGATCTTCGCACGCAATGCCAAGAGAAAGCCGACGAAAAGCCAATTCTTTAGCTCGAGTTTTAGCCGATCAAGGATTAATTGACTCGCCATTTAGCTCAATCGAAGCGCCAACATCAGTTAATGGAGAGAAAAAATCTGTTCGATTGCCACCACAGCCACAGATCGAATTTTCGCAACTAATGATCGAATTAAATAATTTAGGACTGGATAACGATGTATTGAATAGTCGACCTAAAATCGCGTGGAAAGGAGATCCATTATCGATAGAACATCTCCCACACTATGAAGTATTGCATCCGAACGAGTCGTACATAGCTTCAACATTCCGACTAACGCCCATTCAATTCTTGAATGCGAAATATACCTTAATATCATCTTCGAGACGATATAAGAGCCGTTCGCTTCCTTTTCGCAAAAGTGATGCACAGAAATTACTGCGCATTGATGTGAATAAAGCGAGTAAGCTTTGGGAGGTGTTTGATCAATTAAATTGGATATAATAATATAGATTTTAATTAATTAAAATCCGATGTACTGTATATACGTATAATATATAATCAAAATTATTTTGTTATTTCTTTAATTTTAATTTAGTTTGATGTATGTATTGTTATTATTTTATCAAGAGCTGTAATAAAATCATCCGTGCTCCTTTTTTTTTTATATTCTCGGATGATAAATGTATATAGCTAATAATATATTTAGAGAAAAAAATAGCATTAGACCTTCTTGAAAAAGAATGGCATTCATTTGCATCACAAATAATTCATCTAATAAAACCATGACACTCTGGCGCATATATTTAAAATTCGAGTATTCCTTTGTGCTGAAGTTTAAAATTGAGATTTTAAAAACTTGATTCGTCCATTATCAATACGTAACCTATCGCTATGGTTGTGATAGTCACGAACAAGATTCTAACAGGTCAAAATCGTAAGTTCAATGACAAAAGGCAAAATACTATTTTTCAAATTACACAAATGCATAATCATTATATTCGGTGACAATTGTCAATCAATAGCCACATTTCTAAAAAGTAATAAGCGGTAATTAAAAATTTTGTCATCTTGAAACAACAATAATAATAATAATAATAATAGCAGCAAATTAAAAACCTTCATTCCGAGTTTCCTAATAAGAAGAAACGAAAAATCCGAAAGTTTTAATTATTAATCATTATTTGATTACGCCGATTCAATAGAAAATTTTTAGCTTTGATCTTCAGTTGGTCAGCAGTTAATTGAGCGTATACAAAGCAAGTTGCTTACACGTTTTTTTCGTTTCCGTGTGATTGAAATCGATCCTCCCTCAAATTATGATGATACGTAATCATAATAAATCACGATGAAGTATTATATGATAAGCTTAAATTCCATTTCAGGTTTATTCAATAGCGATAATGATAACGATTACTTGGAATGATAACTGCTTAAAAAACATTCTAACTATTTTTGATAATCATAGCGTCATATACGTATGTTATTTTTTACTTTGAAATTTTTTGCCAAAAAACGCCATTTTGCGTAATACTTCAAATTAGATTTTTCGAATTAATGAAACATTTGTTTTCACGTATTTCTTGCAAGCGATGCCTTTTTTTTTCTGTTGGTTCTTTGTTCTTTTCAATAGCGCACTTTTTCTTCTCATTCTTCGCCTCTTCTTTCATTTCTTTCATGCATCTAATATCTTAAAATCAGATCTTCACTTATTTGTTGATCCAGGGTTATAATGTGCGTGGACTCTACCTTACATGGCGTATTTACATGTGTTACATTTCTTCTTCTGATCACACCAATCGGAATGGTCTTTCTGTAGATAAATCCTGCGACTGGTTCGTTATCGTTATTAATTTTGGTTAATGAATAAAATTATCTATTCTCATTGTTGAATGTGTCTGATTCTGATCTCGAATAGATCAGGTCATGTCAGCTATTTATTTATAAATTTATGAATTAATTCAACAATAGAAAAACGAATTCAGGATAGTCAACATGAATAAATATCGATTGAACTTTGTAAATCTTCATGCTTGCTTGCATCGAATCTGTTCTTCATCAGAATTGAAACGCCGCCGCAAAATCATGCTATGCTTGGCACAACTTATCTAATGACGAAAGACGAACAAAATTTTTTTTTAAAATTCTTTGATGAATTCAACCCGCATGCAAAATACTTCCTCGGATATTTTTGTGGTGGGACGTTAGAGACGCGGATTGGGCAAATTGTTCGGCCGAGCAGTGTTGTGAATAATCTTTACTTTTGTTTCCCTTCTTCAGACCTTTCACAGGACTACTACTTGCATAATTTTTGGTCTCATAATTTCTAATTTAAACCCTCAAATATTTTAATTTTTGTAATATAGTTTTTCAATCCACGAAACACCTGTATTATTGTCTATAAATAGTTAAAACATTTACACTGCATACGAAAATTAACCGCATGTCTCATGTATTATTCGTCTGTCCGTTCACTTGATCATTGCAGACATTTTTTCATCAGCAGAATGCATCATCACATGAGGATATTGATAAATGGATAATGATCTTGTTCGAATCGGGTTCGTCAATAACGATAAGCTATCGATGAAGTGACTAAGCTTATCGTTATTGATTTTTCTTTTTAACCTTTAAAAAGAAATTCGATTGCTAGCGCTAGGTTTCAAAATTAATGAATTCAAAAACAATTAGGAAAACGATGATTGTTTTCAAATCAGAAAACCTTTCTTATCGACTAAAAACATTTCCTTTTTTAAAAAAACTTGACATTACATAATGGCGGTAGTGAAAAGGGGTCTATATCGATATACATGTATAAATAATGATCATTATGAATATTTCCTATTTTGTAATTGTGTTTAAGAGTGAAATTTCTGAAATACCAATATCGGAAATTTTATTAAAAATAACATTACTAATATCTTTTTTTACCTTGGGGGAGGGGAGGTTTGGTTATAACCCGAAAAATTTATGATTGATCTTCGAATAGCAATAGAATTTTCTTGGGGATAGATACAAAAAGCAAATAGAATGCTAAACTTGGACTTACCCAACAAACAAAGTAAAGTGAATGAAACGAAAAAGAGCACATTAGTATCAAATCAAACTTTGTTTTAAATGAAAATCTTTTGACATTAATGGCATTCTATAAGTAGTAAGTCTATGGATCACTAAACACAGTGATTACGGATCAATTTAATTATCGTTATCGTTATTTGTTACAGTATCGGTATATCGGAACGAATATATTACGGGGTATTTTCATACACAAAATAGGAAAATTTATTACCAAAAATGCGCTTTTAAAATTTAATTCTTGTAACTTGATGTATTCCGAAATTACCCAATCATTTGTATAGTTTATTATGTATCAATTGAAAAATGATTGAATCTTGGTAAATTTCTATATATAAATTAATTTATATCTCAAGACTCAGATAAATAAACCAACATCGAATACCATAATAGTCTTATCCGGCTTCTATGACATATGTGTGCATGCATTTATCCTATCGAAATATTAATCCTGCATTGAATCTGCTGATAACTGCATCGTGATGCCAAGACGGATAAAAAGCATTCGCGTTTGTTTTTTAATTTAAAATGAAAATTTATTGTTGCACAGTGTGGCAGAGAATAAATTACAAAAAAGGTTACTTTCATATCTGATTCAATGCAAGTATCAATACGCACGGAGAAGAGAACATAATATCAAGAAGTTAGATTGCAATGAAAGAAAATTTGTATTGATCAGTTCTCTCCGATAGGTTTAATCAAAATAAGAGAAAGCTCAATGTTATTTAGAAAAACTCTATCATTAAAATTCTCCCTTGTCCGAAAAGTTTTACTTGCACACATCGAAAACCATTGTAATGCATGAATGAGATTTTTTTCGCATCATGCACAATATTTTTTCTTTCGGAACTTCTTCGTTTAATGATTTCAACGTTAAGTTTACGCACTTTCAATCTATTTCTGTGAATACCTAATCACAAAATCCTCATTTCTGCAGGGTGATTATTATTATATCTCCATTTGTTTGCGTTACTCTGGAAAAAAATATAACAAAGCAGCAACTTCCCGCATAGAATGCTTTATCTGATCAATCGTTTTATACAAAATGACCTCATCCATTTTGCATTCTCGTTTTGTGTATATGCAGGTGGTGTAGAGTTAGAAAAAATTGAATGCCAATTGGCGTATTAAGAATGTCTATAAGTAATTGAATCAAAGAAAAATGATCTATTTTTATGGCACACTCAGTATATAACATATACAACATACATCATTATAGTCATGCCTATAATGAGAATTATAGTCATGCCTATAATGAGAAACGGACTGGGAACCAAAAAATTTTCTTATACATGTATACTGTTATGTTTTAATAGAGAAATTTCATATAAATTTTAGACAGTGTGTTTTGTATAGTATGACTGTTTGTTGAAAAGATTGAAGAATCAATTTTATGTATTCAAGTATATTCGGTAGAGATAATATACATGTACATTTAAAATCTTAATATTAACTGGAAAATTCAAATTTATAATATTTTGTATTTTTCGAGACACCAATAGGATCTGTCACTTGACTCGTATCTTCGTAACAAACGACACGTAATGATGGTTTTTTATCCGCATAATTTTACTTATGGTTTATATACTTATAAGCCTTAACGTAATTCTTCATATCATTTATTATTAATTACGTTAAAAAAGTGTGTGTAAAGTATGTCTAAAGGAAACCGAACTTGTTTATTAAAACCAAGTACACCGGATCGCTTGAAAAGAGGATTGGGTTATGAACTAAGATTTAGTGTTGATAATATAGAGCAAATTTTTTTACAAAAATATTAAACCATTAACAAAATATCATTAATATCTATTTGCAATGTCTTCCTCCATTATATTTATTTACTAAACCAGTTCTCAAAACTTAAAAAAAAAACAAAGCAAAGTCAAATTACACTTTCTGATATTATGGTGCATACCATCTAAAGTCATCAAACGTTTGTATTTTATAAAATGGATAAACTTCTTTACTCAAAAGTAAATACAAAATTTAATCCGTAAATATGCTCAGAAACGGTATATTCTATCATATTTACGGATTAAATTTTGTATTTATTTCTTAGTAAAGAAGTTTATCCATTTTATAAAATACAAACGTTTGATGACTTTAGATGGTATGCACCATAGGAAGAATTATTAAAAATAACCCCAAATTATTTATCTTTTGTTCCTTATTAGCCGTAATTACTGCACTATTAAAGCAATAGAAAGGAAGGAGTGAAAGAAAAAGGCTGAAGAATGTAACCAACGCCAAAAAGAGGTCAGAAAAATTACTGAGAAATAAAAAATGAAGGGTTTTTTAGCTTAAAAAAAAATTACTATACTTGATAGAATTTAAGAATTTAACGCTAGTCGTTTTTCATCCAGAAGTTGGATTCAAGGCTTTATTAACAAAATTCTGGATCTATATAGATCCAGAAAAAATCTGAAACATGAATCCCGATTCATCAATCTGGATTTAACAAAAATCCGGAGAATTTTTTATTTAGACCCGATAACCCTGTAAAAAAATAATTAGGCAAAAATCCGGTTTTTTGTTCCGAAAAACTACAGGTTTATTTATAAAATTTCCGGATTAAAACTCGAAAAAATGAATGACGCGATATCTTGTGATCTACAAGTTCGATCCAGACAAAAAATACGCCATTCGATTCGTCTAGTCTTGACGAATCGAATGGTGGCATTTTCATCCGGATTAAATCTGTGGATCATGAGAAATCGCGTCCCCGGTTTAATCAGATTTTAATCCGGAACTAAAAAAAACCAGATTTTTGCCTGATGATTTTTTTATAGGTAAATATCCAGATATTCTGAAATTAAAATACGGGTGAATTTCTGGATAAAAAACGACAAGTTTTTTTTTTACAAGAAGTTCTATTTCTATCACAATTAATTGCTAAATTATCAAAGTAAATGGAACGCCACCACAATTCGCACTATTTAAGAAACTCGATATAATAACATTGATACGCGTCAGCCTATGCTTACCGTCCATACGAGATACGGAATAATACCCAATGTGTTAGAACTAACAAAAATACTATATCTCATTGGTTATACATGTAACTCATTGAGCATAATTTTATCTCAAATTTCTGATATCAAAGCTTATTGTACTACCGCTACATAAAGTGATTATGATACTATTTTCATAATATAATATTGGGATAAGAAGAGTGAGACGCATAAACTTTACCGTTACTATTATTTATTAGTTATTATTGTTCCACTGCCTAACAGGTTTTGTGTCAAATTGAAATTCTCTATAGTGGAGGCTATTTATAGTGGATAGTGGAGCTTGCTACACAAAAAAGTCTTTAATACAATTAGTCAACTTTATCATTTTATAGCGATATGGATAATTCGTTATAGTGGAGAATTTTACCCTTACACTATAAAAAGAGAGTGACTGTGTAATTTATCAAAGTTGCGCCAATTCTAGGTTTTTGACGGGTGGTATAATTACCCTTTCTCCGACACAACAATTTTCCGAAGTCATATACCCGACAAGACATGACATTGTCCTGATTATAATTATAATTGCACATTAGATAAATATATAAGTAATTAATTACAGTCAACCGCAAAAGTATCCGACCCTTCCTAATCATGTGTAATGCACCAGAATTTCCGAATACAAAGAACAATACAAATACTGATCATCTATGTCTTTTATAGGTTCTATATCGGGAATTGTATGTTCATAAACTTTTACTCTAAATACAATGAATCGGCCACTTTAGAACGTAATATCTTGACATCCAGTGATCTGGTTCGAGCACAAATGCTATCATTTCACCTTGACTAGGAAGAATCAAATGGTATTATTTGTGCTCGAATCGGATCACTGGACGTCGAAATATTGCGTCTGATTCATTTTGTCGATCAATTTTTTCATTAAAAGTTGTTCATCCAAAAAATAAGCCGGTCACTTTAGGACATATATAGTATCTCGACGCCCAGTGATCTAATTCTCGCAAAGATTCCACCATTCGATTCGTCTCGACTAGGCGAATCGAATGGTGGAATCTTTGCGAGAATTAGATCACTGGGCGTCGAGATACTATATATGTCCTAAAGTGACCGGTTTAATTTCCTAAGACATACAAAATTTAAAATTAACTTTTTTTATTGATTAAATTGTTATTGCCATATAAACCACGTAATCATTCATTACATTGATAACAATAATAGATTATGTATTTAAAATCTTTGGACTGATAAATAGGTAAAATTATCTTCCCAATAAATTATCATAAAAATTAGTAAGTGATATAAAAAGCCATATTTGACACTAATAGCGACCAAAAAATTTTATACTTTGTATCAGTATCAAGATTCATTATGTAGTTTAAAATAAAAAAAATTATTTAATTTTTTTTATTTGGCATGATTTTAGGAGGGTCAGTTACTTTTTCAGAGCACTGTAATTGATTACGTATTGGTTATAAATACGTCCGAAGTCTGTTCCAATCACAAATGTAAAATACGGGAAGCAGGTGCCTAAATCTAGCTTGTACACTACCAAAAATGTTGAGGAGGAAAGTTTACATATATAATCCTAACTCTAATTCTAACCCTAAATCTAATCATAACCTTAAAATTTAACGTTAGTCTTTTTAGGAAATGGTGTCTTTCTGAAAAACACACTGTCGAGTAAATGTCCCTTCGGGGAAACAGATTCCGGGTAATTCCCCATTCGGGAAACAGAATGTCGGGTAAATTTACTGTTGGGTTAATAGGTATCGGAGAATCAGGTGCATCCCTTTTTTGACATGTGGCCAGATATTCGATCCAGAGCTTTGTTTGTTCTTCGTGATGACAATCGATTTTATTCAAAATCAAAAATCCCAATTGAAAAAACTAAACATACGGATTTGCCGTTGCAGATTGTGTGTATTGGTATGGCGTTTTTATGAAACAATGGCGGATTTTTTGTGATGTTTATTTTTATGAGACGTAGGATTTGACACACTGTGTGTGAAAAGTAGTTCTAAAGAAAGGTTCACTTTTCGACATCATATTTAAAATAATAATAGAGTAATAATATAAATAAAAATTGTAATCAAACAAAATATTATCATATTGCAAAGATATAAAATAATAAAATAGAATATGCCAAAACTCTATTTAATTTCGTTTTCTTATCTATCCTCAGTAAAAAAATTTGGAATGGAATTCGAGATTGATATGGGTTAAATAGGGATTGAGATTGGGATGAAAAAATTTGAACTCAAAAGTTTTATAATATAACCGAAGAATTTGTCAACTTTGATAAAATAGTCAAAATCAAATTTATGGCGTGCAATCTAACGTAAATTTATGCGAAATTAAATTTTTAAGCCGAAAGCATGTGATAAATTAGATAAAAAATCTATCATCAACTAGTTATCATCATCAAAAGCAATTATTTGATTCTGCCAAGCATATATATTTAAGTACAATAAATTCTTCGACTTTGCATAGAACAAAAAATTCAAAAATGAGTTTCAATCTCCCTCCGCAACCATGCTACTTTCGTTCCCACAGAATAATTTTTCAGGAAAAAATCATTTCAGAACCAATCAAACATATCAATAATTCAATCAATGCAAGTAAAAATAATTCCCTGCATCAAAAACAAAGACAAAATATGTTATTCCGTTTTTATTTACATTCACATTTTTGTTGTTACGATAAATCACAGTTCATTATGATATCACGTCCACAAAAAGCACTTGTCAAAAACTAAACATTGCTTTCTTGATCTTGTGATTGTCACTGAAATATTACTTTTATTTATTTTTCTATTTTTGGTCTATTGCGAGTTTGCCAAGCCATCATCTGACCATAGATTTTAACATATTTTACAAAAGCATCATAAAAATACTCACGTATGTCGAATTCAAGATTCCTGTTTGAAACCTGATATTACACGTCACGTGAAATTTAAAATTTATGATAATCGTAAAAACATCTTAGCGTTAGTAAGCCGTAATCACAAAAAACAGTTGCAGACACTTCAACGAGGGGTTGGTCTTAAATAAAAGTCATACTTAATTACAATGCTTCCTAGTGGCAAGATGTCTTTTGCAAAACATGTTACAAGGTAAATTTTCCCCCAACAAATATTCTTTGCGATCAAAACTTTTGAATAAAAAGCGCACTTTTTTAAAGTAATTTCAAGCAAAATATTTTGAGATTAAATTTTTGTTTTTCGAATTTAACGACTGAACCATAATATATATTATATTTATTTATATGCATTCATTTAATATTGTTGGGCAATTTTTCAAGAAGCTTGACTTAATCGAGTTCTTTGTTGTTTACAATCAAGTTTGTAATCAGAATATAAACATGATTTGATCAAGCTTCTTGCAACCTAATCAACAACTTATTATCCCCGCGTGTTGTGAATTAATTAAAAGATCTGATAAACAATCGTATCTTTTGAAATATATTATCATTAGAACAATCTTAGTATTACCGCATCAAAATAAAAAATCTCACGAATTCCAAATTATCTCCATTTGGGCAAAGAGTGAGTACATAAATCACATTTTAAGAAATTGATTCGTGACATGTAAAAAGAATCCTTGTAAAATCGCATATCTTTCATTTTTGTATTCCACCTTGGATACATGTCAAAAGCTGCCGAGATAACGATTTCGCATGTATCATCATTTTTAAATCGCACATTCTAAAAAAAGTAGTCATGCAAGAATCGTTACGCAATGATTGCCATTTTACTGATGACAGAAATGGTAATTGGATAATGAAGGTGGCTGTTTACTTATTTGTGTACCGTTACTTGTGTTATGCAAGATAAAAAAAAATGGCGGAGTGAAACTCCGTGCATGAGGAACACAAGCACCAAAATCTAGTGTATTTGTAACGACTGTTATTTGTAACAACTACATTTTAATTGGCTAATTAGGACCTGAGTTATGATTAGAGTTAAGATTCTGGATATGTGATTGGTTGATATTGAAGTTGTTACATGTAACAGTCGTTACATTTAGATTGAACGTATATAAGCTGAAACTTCCTTCCAGATAGATTTTCAATCCGAACATAAACATTAATGAAAATGCAAAAGTAAATTTTTATTTAAGCCTTGAAATTAAAGTAGTATACAACCGATAATGAGCCAATACATATTTCTCTTAGCCACAAGACAACTACTGCGACAACATACCCAACAAAGACACAATCATTATCATTTTTGTGAATTTCCACACTTTCCTTTGTAATTATATACTAAATTTTACCACTTTTAATAAATTTTACTAGCATTGCAGTTTCATTTAATAATTCCAATATATAAATCCATTTTTTGTAACGACACGGAATTTTATTTCCGGCCGGTGATACCGTTACAAATTTCTCTGTTGATCGCGAAAAAAATATATAATAAGATGGGAAAGAGAGATTTTGTGAGCTTGGTTCTTCATCCAATAATTTTCTACTAGAATAGTAATTTAAAATTAAACACTCTTGCTTGCTAACACTAACACAACAACAATCATAATAACAATCATAATAATAATAACAAAAATAACAACAACAACAACAATAATAATAATAATAATAATATATAGAAATTCTTAATAGATTGTGTTCATCATAATATGTCGAGAGAAGAACCCGAGCAATTTTCTACTTTTACAACATATCCTCCTTCTAACCCTAACACTTCTCCTGATATTTCTTCTAATTCCACTCCTGAAGTTAGAGCTTCGCTTGTAAAGCGAAATAACTTAACTTTTGTTGTTATAGTAATAGATCAACCTAAGATTACTATTGAATTTCCTCTTCCAACAGCCAAAAGTCTAGTTGCTGGTTGTAGCAAGACTCAAACCAGAACTGGTAATGCTTTTCTTTTGTTCAGGAGCGAATTTCAAAGACACGCTCAAAAGTCGCTTAATAATAATGACATCTCGTCATACGCTGGAAATGCATGGCAGAATTCAGACCCGAATTTAAGAGATTCTTTTAACAGATTGGAACAGAACGTAAAAGAGGAGTTCAAGAAAAATCATACTCCTTTCATCCAATACAATTACCCGTATGGTACCACAACCAAAGTCAAACGTGGAAAACAAGTGAACGGTGGATCTGCAAAGGAAAAAATCCATTCTTTTCGCTCCAAGAGAATCACAAAAGTTACACAAGAGCCAAATATTGACGCGCAAACTAATTCGGCATTGAATCAAGAGACATCTTGTCTCGATTCAAATTCTTTAAGCTTTTACGAGCTTCCCGCAGAGCTTGTTGACAATTATAGCATCTTTGAGAACTTGAATCAGCCCAATATATCCTTTTCTTCCAACAGCCAACCGTGTTTGGAACTTCTTGATTATCCAGCATTGCTCGAGCTTTCTAGGGTGAAAATTTAATTGGAAAATTTTCATCTATAGGTAAAGATCAAATTCTGTGATGTGACGTGATAGAGGACTGTATATATTGTAACTGTTATATTATACATATAACTTTCTTTTACTAATATCTTTTTCTTGTAAATATTTTTATTTTTATTTTTACTACTTAAATAATTTCAAAAAATAAAAAAAATAGGCTTTTTTGTTATGTAATATATTTATTTTTAATTATTTAAACATAGCATATATTAATTTATCGTTCTCATGTTCTAGAGAAAATTGCAAGTCAATTTTTTTTAATTTGAATTTATACCACCTTGTTTTTATTTAATCAATAAGTTAGTATTCTACTGATGCCATTTTTAGATTTAAAGTATTTTTTTTAACTGTCCTTTAATTTTTTTATACTTTATTTACGACTTTAGATTCGTGTCAAGTCGTGGTGTATACTAATTCGATAGCAAATCTTTATTATCGTTATATCATAATAAAGACCGATCTTCCAATTTCCATCCCTAATTATCCCATTGTATTGACAGAAAAAATTGACATGCTAATCCTTCTCAATTACGTAAACAATAATTATGTCACACATCGGAGTTCGGAGCTGCAATCGAAAAAAATGGCAATATGAATTGCCAGAACAGAAGTTTCTTGCAACATTTCATCATCGTTTCCTGCATGATTATTAATGGTCAATAAAATACCAAGTACATGTACATGTAATGGAAATAGTAATACTCGCATATACGTACGTATAAAGTTGATAATTAATCTTATCGTTATGTTAGAAAACCTGAAAAATGAATATTTCACGTCACTGTAAATTGCGAATTCACCTTGCGTATAAGAAATTCTTTTATTTCTCCTCCTCTTTATTTATCCTGAGAATTAATCTTTGCCTTTACTCCAATGGTTTAATAATTGGATATTATAACTTCGGATAAAATATTTTACAGAAGTAAATCTTTTCCGTTTATAATACCGGAATTTCCGAAAAAAAACTATCGATATTGATGTGATAACAATGTATCGATTCTAATCTATATTATGAGCTTATCAAACTAATGTTAAAAATAATTTATTTATCTAACGTAAAATAAACTTTATTTGTCAATAAGCTCGAATTTAAGGCTTAGAGTTTGAAATTATAGATAAATATCGGGTTGTAACGCAGGACCCCGAATTTAATAGTAGAGGGGAATGAAAATATAACCTTAAAAATTTTAGTGCCCGTTATACTCTTAGTAAATAGTGACTATGGCGCTATAAATATAAAAATAAAAACCATTGATCAATTTTAATATACACATTACGTATAATATTATTAATTAATATAGCTTTTATATCTTAATGTACATGACAATGAATGAACTCGTTCATATAAACTATAGTGATAGCAATATACACACAAAATTTGAATATAAACTCCAAGCTTCTCTTTGCGAAGTTTTATATAACGTGAAGTGAAAATTTTCACCCTATTCAGGGATTGTGCTTGCATAATTTTAGCAATAAACTGTTGTTTTTATGAAACAATAAACTTATGAAATTATAGTAAAAATTCAATAAATTCAGCGATTATCAGAAAAACTAGTGAAATACTACATTTATAACAGTGTTGGCAGTTTTATAACGAGTTATTTTGGTTTTTGTACTGGAATTATGAAATTTTATAACTTCTGTACTCCAGTTAGCACAGTTTTTTTTTATCATTCCATCTAAAGCGAGGGATGATTTATATTTTTCTTGTAAATATATAGTAGGCTTATCCATACCATTGTAAGATTAATTGATTTACTTTGCTTCTTTCCAAAAATCAAACATTAAATCAAAATAGTTACGGAACTGAACTAATTTTTTGAATAAGCAAAGTATACGAGATTTTTCATTATATCCCACGTTTATTAATCGCTCGCTCATGTGATTTCTGATGATACGTATTCTCATAGTTCCCTAGCCATGGCAAAAAAAGGGTCGGATGATATTTGTGTATGTCCGGAAAAATTCTGCGGTAATAGAGGTTATTGTTAAAGATCAACCTAAAGGTTAGGGTTAGAGCTAGAGCTGGCGTTAAGATTATATGTAAAAATGTCTTCCCGACTCTTTTTTTTAGTGTAGCAAGCTGTATTTATTCATCTGTTTCCCGTATTTTTTACTTTTTTTTGCTTTTTTCATTTTCTTGCGTCGGATTTGTTTTGCCGAGCTGATAAAAAATTTATTGGTTTGTGCCACAATTAGCACGTGATCCGACTCTTTTTTTGCCATGGCTAGGATACTAATATTCTCATAGATGAGGTAATCCCATGTAATATTAGTATCCTAGTCTCGACAAAAATCATACGATAATAGAGATTATTGTTAAGAATTACTTTAAAGATTAAAGTTGGAGTTGGAGTTAAATTTATATATAAAATTGTTTTTTTCGAAATTTTTTATTAGTGCATCAAGCTAAATTTAAAAATCTGTTTTTCATATTTTTGCTTTTTTAATTTTCTTATATCAAATTTGTTTGTTAGTATTATAATATATTATAATTGGTGCTAAACTAAGTTCCAACACAAGATCATATAATATTATTTAAAATTTTATTTTGTTTAAAAAAATTTTTAAATAAAATAAATTTATTTGATAATTTATAAATTTAAATTAAATAAATATAGTTTATTTTAATATATTTAAAAATATTATTAATAATTTAGTTTTTTAAAAATTAATTGAATAATATATTTAATTTAGTGATTATATTAATTTTATTTTGATTAAAATTAATTTTATCACATATATAATATGAATAATTCTAGTAATTTTAATAGTTTTAATAATTTTGGTAAAATTATAAAAATTATATAAATTATAGAAATTATAGAAATTATATAAATTTATATAAATTATACAAATTATAAAAATTATATAAATTATAATAATAATATTTATTTATTTATTAATATATAAAATTATATATTCAAAATTATGAAACAATATGTATAATTTATTAATAAAATAAAATAAAATTGAAATTTTTGTTTTATATAAAAGTTTTTAATTTTATAATAAATATTTTTTATTTTTATATCAAAACAAAAATTATAGGTTATATTTTAATATATTGTTATTATTTTATATAAGTCTTTGGAAAAGTTGGTAAGTGCTTAATAATATTATAATAAGTTACTTGATTAGGATAATTATAGTAAAGTTTATTAAAAATAACAAGTGAGAGAGTATAATATAATCAAATCTATATAATACATCAAGTATTAAACTATAATTATAACAAGTCTAAAGAGAGATAAC